TGCTTCTAACGGGCTTTTTTAACTGGTTTATTTTCGGTATTTTCCATTAACTCTCATTAATTGAGTTCATTTTTTGGCACATACACACACACACACACGCACGCATATTTATGAATAATATTGTTGGGCTGCTTCATGTGGAACGCACAACAACAAACACTGCATCACACTCATTGCCCATCACAACAACCACAAGAACAACACAAACAACTAAAACAAATGCTCGCCTAATTTCATGTCTCACGCCACAACAACAACAACAACAATTGCTCAATGCAGCAGCAGCAGCAGCTACAACAACGCAGCAGCAGCAGCAGCAACAAGAATTGCCAAGCAGCAGCAGCAGCAGTAACAACATCAGCAACAACAATTCAACACATTTCAATTACATTGCAGCTAGCAACAACAACAACAACAACAACAACAACAAGGAGGAAACAATAACGTCAACAACAACAACAACAGCCGCAGCAGAAGCAACAGCTAACAAATTGTTGCCCACGCTTCAGCAAAAGTTAACATCCAACAACAACAACAACAACCACAACAATAACAATAATAATACCAACACCAATACCGATACCGTTACCAACTCCTCCGTGACAACAACAACCTCTTCCGCATCTTCCGCTTCTACCATCTCTTCTTCCTCCTCCTCCTCCTCCACCACCTCTTCACCAGCTCTATTAACAACATCTAAGCCCTGCAATTGCTGTTGCGCTCACGTTTTGCAACGACAACAGTTGGAGCAACGACAATTGATACAGCAAAACGCCGCAGTTGCCGCCGCCAAAGAGCTAGTACGTTCCGTAACAGCCACCAGCATCATGGATATGCCCTATAACACCTCGCCGTCGTTACGCGTGCGTACCACCTCATTGAATCAGTTGAAGAAGACAGCCGACCTGGCCATCGAGAATGAGTTGCATGTCTGTCCATCGGTGATGTCGGATGAATTGCGTAAGCTGTTGCCGCCCACATCGGAAACGGTGATGACCAAACCGTTTCCGATTCGGGGCGAGCGTACAATAGCCGATTGTACAACGCCTCATGTGATCGCAATGGTGGGCCTGCCCGCCAGGGGCAAGACATTTATATCGAAGAAGCTGGCGCGTTATCTCAATTGGATTGGCATCGCGACGCGTGTCTTTAATTTGGGCGAGTATCGTCGTCATGCAACGACTGCCTACAAATCCCATGAATTCTTTCGTGCCGATAATGAGGAGGCAATGGCCATTCGGAACCGCTGTGCTAATCAAGCACTACACGACTCGTGTGATTGGCTGTTGAGTGGACTCGGCAGCATCGCTGTCTTCGATGCCACGAATTCGACGCACGATCGCCGTCAATTGATCTATGACATTGTGGTTAAGCAACATGGCTTCCGTTTGTTCTTTGTGGAGTCGATATGCGATGATCCGCAAATCATTGAACAGAATATATTGGAAGTGAAGGTCAGCTCACCGGATTACATCAATATGAATACGGAGCTGGTTGTCCGAGATTTCTTGCAACGCATCGAGCATTACGAGGAGCGATATCAACCGATTGACGAAGTCGCCGAGTCGCATCTCAGCTTCATGAAGGTCTACAATGCCGGCAAAAAGGTCGTCGTCTATAATAACGAGGGTCATGTGGAATCGCGCATTGTTTACTATCTAATGAACATTCATATAACGCCACGCACCATCTATCTAACGCGTCACGGTGAATCGGAGCACAATTTGAGCGGCTTAATTGGTGGTGACTCGAACTTGAGTCCCCGTGGTCATCAATATGCCAGAGCGTTGGCCTCGTTCATCTCGCAGCAACAGATCGATGGATTGCGTGTGTGGACCTCATGGATGAAGCGTGCCATACAGACGGTAGCAGATGTCAAGGCGCCCCAGGAGCGTTGGAAGGCATTGAATGAGATCGATGCGGGCCACTGTGAGGAGATGACCTATGAGCAGATTAAGGAGCGTTTTCCCGAGGAGTTCAAGGCGAGAGATCTGAATAAGTTCGCTTATCGTTATCCACGCGGCGAGAGCTATGAGGATCTGGTGGCGCGACTTGAGCCTGTTATCATGGAATTGGAGCGTCAGGGCAATGTGCTCGTTGTCTCCCATCAGGCTGTCCTAAGGTGTTTGTTCGCCTACTTCCTGGACAAGTCAGCGGATGAGTTGCCCTATTTGTATGTCCCATTGCACACGGTCATTAAGCTAACACCTGTCGCCTATGGCTGTAAGGTGGAGCATATCAAGTTGCCAATCGATGCTGTCGATACGCATCGTCCAAAGCCAAAGATACCCGGAGATGTTAGCGAGCCAGGTTTGGATGGTCTAAGCGGTGAGCTGGTTGCGCCCGATGGCGTCGGCAAGGTGCTCATCGTGGGCGATGATGTGGCTACGGCAACGTCTGCCTCCAATGGCAACAGCGGTCGTGCGGATAATACCCAATGACATTGCACCAAGCCTCCCAAAACAATGAAATCCAAGACATTATAAAAAGGCAACCGAGATAACCAAAAGACCCCCAATCCCCACCCACCAATCAATTAACTAATCCGACCCTGGACCTGGCCCCGGCCCCGCCCCCATTGGATTATAGCTCTGTAATTGAAGTAAATGGAAAAGACATTTCCCTCACACACGCACACGCACATACACAGCCACAGCCACAGCCTCAGATAGACAGACAGCGCGGGCGTTGTAATGTTAACATAAGCGTAATGGTTGCTGCCAACAGAGCAGTTAACAGTGAAGTTGATGGATGTAATAACTGCAAGCTTAACAGTAAACTTAACCGTTAGCAGTAGCTCTAACCACTGCTGTTAGCAGAATACAGAGTTAACATTAAAAGCTGTAATGGCAGTCAGAAAGTTAACAGCAGTTATAAATTGTAGCACATGGCTTTAACATAATCAATAATTGCAGATTTAACACTCGCTGTTAACAAATCAATTAACAGTGGCTTATCTTGAATGTTATGCCTTATGTTAGAGTAACAGAGAGCTTGAAATTGCATTTTGAAACCACACGCTTAACAGTTGCTGTTTGCAGAGTCGTAACAGTAGCAGTAACATCGGGAACACACAACTGTCACTTAAAGAGACACATCATAGTTCTGACTGCTTACATTTAGTGTTAACTGCTGTTCAATAGCTTTAACAATCAACCGATTGAAGAATACTTTAAGTACAACTGTATGAATCATTGAATGAAACGGGCTTAGCAGCTTCTGTTATACCTTATGTTGGCATATTCCCTCTAACAGTGTACTTACATAAAACAACAGAAACAGAAATTATTTATAGACTGCTTTAAGTGAACTGTGTTTATCAATGTTAGCTGTAACAGTAAAAGCTTCTGTACTTATGTAATGTTAGCATACTGTTAACACGTGGTTAACAGCTGTTAACAGTTAACAGTTGCCATATTCTCTTATCCTTTATCTATGTATCTATATCTATATATATTTCTTACGTCTCTCTATTATGCCTGTTTGCCTTTCGTGTTTATATAGATATATAGACGTATATCGATATATATATTTCGATGCTTGTCGAAACTTTTTTATATTGAATTTTGAATTAATGTTTGTAATTTGTCTGTCCTTGCTAAATTGTGATTGGAATGACTCTGTTATATCGATGTACTTTACGCTCACTAGAGAGATGAACCACTAAAAACTTAAAATTTAAATCCTAGCATTAGCTTAAGACGAAATATATATATATTTTTAACATATTTTCTTAAACAAAAACAAAATATACATTTTTTACAATTTTTATTCATGTTTAATAAATATTTCACTTTTCGATTCAATGTTATATAAAGATTTAAGTAAGAACTCTATTGCGTATACTTTGTATACAAAGCGAACAAAAAATAAATGATACAAAAATCGATATACGATAACACTTTAATTGTAGCAATACACGCAGTACTTTCGATTTTGCGCTCTTTTTTCGCTTTCTTCGTATCTAGTTTTGCGTGTCTATCAAATTTTGGACGCCTCATTTTACACTCATCGTATATATACAAAATATATAAACTATATCTATATTGTAAATTACTCAGAATAATGAAAAATATTAATAAATTACTATGAAAAACCAACAACAAAAAAACAAAAACTTGTATTTGTCTTCTAATTTATACCTATATGAATATACCACCCTCTACAGAGTGTATCGGTCTTAGGTATAATGTAATAAACAGAAAGCGTGGTAAAACTCATCAAATCTATGCAACAGTTGAGACGGTTTGTTTCTAAACGAGCTGTAGACGTATGTAATTATACAAGAGCTATAGGATCATTTACAGATGTAAAATATCAGCGTAGAATAAGAGACTACTTGGTATAAGAGCTAAGCATTATCCGTTATCTTATCTAAGTTATGCAGTATAAGAGCTGAAAATTAAAGATCCCTTGCTGTTAAAGCTAGACTAGTTGAATAGTGTAAGAACTTGGCTATCTAGTAAATACTATACACCAGCCACTCTGCTTAAGGGAGTGTTATATCTATAAGTGCGAAGGAGTATTAGATTAAAAGCCAGAGACTTATACACTATTCAGAATTGATTTGGTGTAGGAGATGGAGATTTAGATGTCTATTCTATTTCTATCTATTTACTATCAATATATATAGCTACGATGTTTCTCTTTCGTGATTGGCAAGGAGCCTAAGGTAACTGCTAGTCGGACACTCCCGACATGATGTTTTTCATTGTCGTATTACGTGTATTACGAACTAAATATACCAACTGTTCTATTTATAAGAAATATATTTCAGTTAAATTAACGTTAGTTAGTTAAGAAAAAGCTGAATCTGTGGCTTAGCTATTTAAGCTTCAGATTGTATATGTCCGACATGCTCTGTCCGTTCTTGAAATTGTTGCACTCAAAGGCCTAGATATTAAGCAGGGGGCTAAACATGGGTGTATAGATACGTAATCGAAATTTGAACTCAAATGAAATTCTCTCTCAAAAAAATTAAACCTACCAAATGCTTGCAGTTGTTCAGGCCCGATGTAAGCCGTGAAGGAGGACCTAGACATAAGGAATAGACGACCAGAAGTGAATCGAACTTGGACTACGAATTTGGATAACATATATACATCTAAAGAGCTTGTATATATATATAATATATATATATATATATTGATTTATATATATATTCACTGATAACAACATCAAAATGCCACGATTCCGCAACGAGGAGGTGGAGCGGCAGTACAAGGATGGGGACATCGTTTGGGTAAAGATTCATAACTCAGAGATTTGGTGGCCCGGCGAGGTGACCTCGTCGCAAGATTTTCGCTTTGTGAATAGCTCGCGGCGACCCTACGCCGTCGTCGAATTCTTCAACGAACGAACTTTGTAAGTAATACCCATCTCTCCTAACTTGGGATTCCTGCTGACATGTTTTTCTGTCTTTCGCAGTGAGCAGGTGAACACGTCCAAGCTGATCTATCCATTTCAGTGCGAGCACAAAAAGGAGTTCATCAAGCTGGGCACCAGTGAGTAGATATGCGTTTATTGTTTGATTGATTGATGGATTCACAGATGGCTGAAGGGCAATCAAGACATTTCAAGGGAAATGGGGCGATTGGGTAATGGAGCAAGTCGGTCGGGTAATGGTGTAACTGCATGATTGATTGATTGACCAGCTGATCGAGTGCTTGACTGGCACAGAATACCTGGGGAAATTAATGTTTTGCTTCAGGATTAACTGTTTACCTATTACAAGTTCATCTTGCTTTAAAATATTCCACATGATTGGCGAATTGATTGACCGTTTGGCAGGCTAGTTACTAATCCGCTGTGATTGATTGATTGAACCACTTTGAGGTTGAGTGAACGAGGGATGGATTAACCGATAACCAGAATAAAAAATGAATGACCTTTGCATGCTATATGCTATCGATAATCAATTGAGAGACTTTCTTATATATATTCTCATACACATATATATATATATATATTAAATTTATATATATATCTATATATATGTATATACGCATTATATTTATCTTTATATAACTGAACTATTGTTAATGGCGGGATTCATAGACCGAAATATATGCACACACCTCTTTTCGATAAATTTAAAGAAGGGAAGAAATAAATATTGTATGTATATAAACATATATATACATATATACGTATATATGTATATGTATATATGAATGCATATTGAACTCTTTGATTGATGTTTGATTCGAGGAACACCGCTCGCTCACTCTCTCGTCATCGCTCAACACTCTTGATTGATTGATTGAGAGTGGTTTGAGGCTGATCTGTCATTCGCGACTTGATTGGTTGATTGGTTGCAATTTGATTGATGATTGAGTAGGGAAATAATTCGATGAAGGCGCTTTCTTTCGTAACTCTTGATTGATTGGTGAAGAATTTCGAGGAAGATGCTTTACTCGGCACTCTTGATTGATTCATTGATTAATTGAGAGTGATTCGCTGCGAGACTCTTTTGGTTGCTTGGACGATTGATTGAGATTCAAGAAAAATTTACTTTGAGACTAACTGAATTGATTTTGAGAGATCCAGGGAAGTTTTTTCTGAGGCTTGATCGATGAACTGTGTGTTTGTTTGTATTTTATTGATTGGCTGAGATTCGGGAGAGCTCTCCCGAGACCATCCTACGTTGCTTGACTGATTGCTATTCGGGCCCTACTCGATCTCCATTGAGTTGGAGGACATGGAGGTAGTCAGCTCTGCATGAGATACAGTTTCGACATCATCCCCAGCTTCAGCTTCAGCTTCAGCTTCAGCTTCAGCCTCGGCCTTAGCCTTGGCCTTGGCTATGCCTTTGCCTTTGCCCCCTTCGCGTCCATCTTCAGCTTCTGTTGCAGCTCCATCTCCTGCGCCAGCTTCAAGGTTTCTCAACAGCTGCTCAGCTCCTGCGGGCTCCGCTTGCCATGCCTCCGCACGCTTGAGCTTGCCCTGCTCCACCGCCCCCTTCTGCTTGAGCCAGCGATGGCCGCAGTAGTAGAGGAGCACGCCAGTGGCCAGGCCGCCCACTATGAAGGGGCGACTCTGGCGGCTGCCCAGTGCCTGCTGCAATGGCTTCACATTGTCGAAGATCGTCTGCAGGCGCAGCTGCGAAATGGCGCTGGCTGCGCCGAGTATGTTGGACATGATGGTGCTGCCGCAGCAGCAGGCCTCCGCACCGACGCGCATATCCTCAGCTGTGTCCGCTGCTGCTGTTGTCCTGTTTCTGTTTTGCTTGCTGTTAATTCGTCTGCTGTTAGTTTGGCTTGCGCTTTCTTGCCTCCTCTGGCTCGCTGTTGGTCTCTCACTCTCCACCTCTCTGTATCGATCGCTTGCTTTCCCTCTTCGTTGATTTTTCGCAAATGGACTTGACTCGTACAAAAATACAAAAATATATAAATCTATATATCGATTTGATAAAAAGTAAAAAAATATAAATTTATAGAAATATATATTTTTGAAGAGCTCGTATGCTCGATGTGAACAATACCAGATATAAAATAAATGTGAGCCCTACGAGAGCAGCTCAGAGCCAACGAAAGCTGTCCGAATTGACATTTAGCTACTCGACTGCTAGATGATTATGTGTGTGACTAGTTGTGGAGGGGGCGGGGAGTCTGGGGGGAGAACGTCAGAATGGGAGGGAAGGAAAGAGGCAGAAAGAGGAGAGAAAATAGAGTGAAAGATTTGACAGCAATAGAAAATGGCAGAGAAAGAGAAAGAGAGGGAGGGAGAAAAAGAAGGAGAGCAAGCAAGGGAAAGAGCAGAGGACGGCTAGGATTAGCAAGTGAATGGGAATGGGGAAAATAAAAGGCCAAGAGATAAAGACCGAAAGAACGAAGATCGAATGGGAGAAAGGACAAACTCAAATTTGAATCTTGAATTTGAGCTCCTTTGAGAGAATATAGCGAACATCCAGTTCCACTCTCGAACTGATCTGACCATGCATTTGCTTTACAGGGAAATCCGTGGCAGCCGATATGAGGGAGAAGTTCAACGAGGACGTGAAACACGCCGAGAGCCGTTTGGCCGAAAGAAATTTGGAGAGCGCAGAGCCTGCGGTGAGCCGTGAGAGCTTGATTAAGGCATTTCTATCGAGCACCATCACCACCGCCTCTGTCGGCACCAACACCACCGTCTCTATTGTCACCGGCAACAACAACATCAGCAGCACCAGCAGCAGCAGCAGCAACAGCAACAGCCACAACAATGCTGCGAATAATCGCACCTACAACAACAACAGCAACAACAATCTGGATGATCATCTAAATAACAATCGCTACAACAATCACAATAGCAACAACAATAACAACAACAATCAGATCCCCAACAATAACCACGTCAACAACAACAACAACAACAACACTCACGCCCACAACAACAACAACAACAACAATCACATCGATAACAGCTACAACATCTACGGCAGCTTTAACGACAATGTGAGTTTTGTTGGATATATGTAAATATAAGATAGATGTACATTTTTGATATATACGTATTCCCTTTCTTCTACAATTAAGACGTTTTCTTTAACTCTCTTTGATTAACCCACTTAGAAACTATTTTACCTAAGATATATTTATATACCAGATATTTATTCGTAGCCCTCTTATAAATATCTCTTATACAGAGAGACTATATGCCTGTTGCCTGTTGACTACTCGTTTCTCTTTCATCTGTCGGTCTTCGCTCTATTATTATGTGTGTATTCCTACACATACCTCGTACCTCTTCCTTATGAAGACTCCCTGACTCGCAGCAGTCGGCTGTATATGTATGCCTCTATCTGTATTCCAATCTGAAATCTCGTAGTCTAAGGCCTTCTGCAGACCTCTTTGTCGTATAAGAGTTTGTCGATTATTATTCTTATACATATCTGTCTTTAGGCAATTCAGTCTTTAGCGTATCCTCTATATCTCTTATTTGGCCTTGATCTCTCGAATGTTATCGACTCCAATTAATGTTGCTCCTCCCTCTTTACGCTTGACAGGATTCATCGATTCGTATCATGGACATTGGCGCGCCGGCTTCAGCTTGCTCACGACCCGAGGGACGCAACGATCAGCGCTATGAGTGCAACCTGTGCGACTTCCATACGAGCAGCATGAACGTTCTGCTCATCCATAGGCGCACTCACTTGGACCTCAGCCGCTTGAGCACCGCGTCAACGGGGATGCCAGGCAGTGGATGTGCCAACAATTGCGTGTCCAACAAGTCGCGTGCGTCCCGCAGGGCCAACACATCGATCTCCCGTGAGCTGGCGACCTACTCGTCGCTGTGGCGCTGTCAGTCGCGACACGTCTCCATTGTGGTGGATGCGCCGCTCAATGACGAGGAGCAGAGGCAGGTGGCGAGCATTGCCCAGCTGACGCTGGCGAGCATTGAGCGCGTGGTCAAGTCGCCTATACCCCCCGAATCGCCGTTGAGCGAGTGCTCCAGTCCGGCGGTGCGCCGCAACACGCAGATTAGCTCGAGGGATCCGAGACGCAAACGTTGCCACCAGTTGCGTGCCACGATGCCAGTGCCGCCGCCGCTGACGCCGCCGTCGCCCGCAACGCCGGCGAAACAGAGAAGACTAACGCGCTCCTGTACCAGGCAGCAGGAGACCAGCTCCACGGCCAGTGCGGAGCGTGAGAGGGCCAGGGCAGAACGGGCAGAGCGATTGGGCAGGAGGCGGGGACTTAGTGCTGCAAGGGAAGCAGCCACAGCGACATACGATGATCCCAATGCCGACGAAAGAGATGCGAGTGCAGCCAGAGGAAGAGAACGAGAAAGGAAAGTCCTGGAGAAAACACCAACTTCCAGAAGATCCGCCTCTTCCTCAGTCACCTTTGCGCTTCCCCGAGAACGCCCGCAGCAGACTGGTGAGAGGAACTGCACAATTACCAGTGCCTCCATGATGTCCACGTCAACATCACCGTCGCCATTCACACTGGCCTTGCCCAGTCGAGCGACCCAAACAGTGAATCCCAGTCCGGAGACGGCGCCCACATCGAAGGCGAAGTCCCCGTCAAAGCCGACAGGCAGACCGAGTGGAGGCGTGTCGGCCGCGGCAGCGGCAGCGGCTGCGAAAAGGGGACGCAAGCGCAAGCGAAGGGATGAGGAGGACGAGGATGAGGATGATGACGAGCAGGCAACAGCTGCCGAGAGAGAGCAGAAGGCGAAAGCTGGGACACTGCAGGAGGCAGAACAGATGAAGAAGGAGCAGGAGGAGCAACAGCAGTGCAACGACACTCCAAATCAGATCGTGAATGATTCACGTGAGCTGCACCTAAGATTGCTCGCAGAATGGAGAGATTACGAGCAGGAGGAACCAGATCTGGAACAGGAACAGCAAATCGAGCAGGGGCAGCAGCTGCAGCAAAGGGCGCAACAGCAGGAGCCAGACGACGAAGCCGACGACGAAGCCGACGCCGACGCCGACGCCGACGCTGACGCTGATGCCGAAGCAAGTCCAGCCACAAATGATGCGCTATGCAATGATGTATCCTTGAATGCCGTGGCCTCCTGTTCATCGAGCTCGTCGTCATCCAAACGCATACGCAACATACCAAAGAAGGATCGTCGAGATGTGGTGCTGCAGGAGTTCGATGCTAGCGCCGAGAGCAACTGCGTGCAGGATGAGCCGATCCTAATTCAAGATAGCGATGCTAGCTCCAATGAGAGCGTTGTCTTTATCGATGCTGCCGAGCCGCAGCGCTCGATGAGAGCATCAGCACTAAATCCGAATCCGAATCCGAGTGCCGTCTCCTGCTTTGACTTCGACGAGGAAGACGAGCACCTCGAGCCGGCTGCCATTCAGCCGAATGCACCCATCGCTGAGAGAAATGGAAATGGTCTAAGCTATAGACGGCACACCAAGCCCTCGGCTCCAGCTCCTGCCCAGACGGCAACAGCTACAGCTACGGCTCCTCTGTCCAATGGCGGCGAGGAGTCGAACTCTAGAGAGCAATCTTTGGCCAAATCCAACGAAGATCTCTTCAAGTCTTTCAATGAACACCAGCGCCAGCAGCAGCAGCAGCAGCAGCAGCAGCAGCAGCAGGAGCTGGAGCACGAGCAGGACTTGGAAACCGGAGGAGGCAGTGTGGATGCGGAGGCAGAGCAGTCAAATCTGCCCATCAAGGAGCGACAGAAACGCATTTTCAAGTCGCGCAACAAGCAGCGCGAAGAGCAGGAACAACAACAACAACAAGAGCAACAGCAACAGCAGGAGCGGGAGGAAGATGAGGACGAGACAAGTCAGCAAGAGGTTGCGCTGGCGCTGGAACACGAGGAAGAGGAGGAGGAGCAGCAGCAGGTAGTGACGTCGCCTCTACCCACATTATCCAATGGCTCCAGTTCTGAACTGAAGACTGACAAGCGACGCCAAAGCAATCCAAACAATTGCGCTGCCAAAGCCCAGTCGCAATCCCAAATCATGTCCAGCTACAGCCTGGCTCAAACTCCGCCCACGCCGACACCCACAGCCGAAGAGCTGAGCAACTCGTCGCCTGTGCCAAGCCAAATGCAAGCGCAAGAAACGCAACTGGAATTCCAGACGCAAATGCCATTTGCTTCCCAAGCGCAGTTCCCCATTCAGTCGCAGTTCAGCGGCCTAGCCTCGCCAGCGCTGAGCCATATCCACATCCACATGAGCTCCAACAGCAACAGCTCCTCGCATTCGGCGAGCAACAGCAACAGCAACAGTAACAGCAGCTCCATTCTTTCCAATATGGCTGTCATCTCGGCGGAGGAGGCGTGCGAGCTGCAGCGCTCGGCTCCTGCCCTGGTCGAGGAGTCCACCACGGCCACAGAGTCGAGCGGTGTGCTCATCCTGGAGGACATATTGCTGCCCAATCTCTATGAGATACGCCCCAATTCGGAGAACAGCAACATGAGCAGTGCGCGGGTTCGCAGTCTTGCGAGCAGAGCCAGCCGAACCAGCAAGAACAGTAAAATCAGTAAAGCCAGCAAAGCCAGCAAAACCAGCAAAAACAGTAAGCGGGGAAGCCGTGGAAGCAGCAGCAGTACCAGCGGCAGTGGCTGTGGCAGTGGCACTGGCAGTGGCAGCGGCAGCAGTAGTAGCGGCAGCAGTAGCAGTGGCAGCACTTGCAGCAGTTGCAGCGGCAGCGGCAGCAGTGGCAGCGGTAGCAGCAGCACCGGCAGCAGCAGCAGCAGCGGACGCAGCCAGCTGAAACGGCCGGTGAGAGCAGAGGCGGGCGAGCGTCGAGATGCAAAGAGTCGAAAGGAGAGACAAAAGCAGGAGCAGCATCACAACAAACAGAAGCCACAGAAGGCGGAGCAGCAGACGCCGGCAGGGCGTTCAAAAGACAAGAGAGAAAGGCAAGCGAAGAAAGCAAAGCACTCGAAGAAAGAAGACAAGAAACACACACCGAAACAGCCGATACCCTCCACATCGGCGGCAGCTCAACGCGCACAAGCCGAAATACGTGAATCCCCGGGAGCTGGCTCGCCGTCATCGCCAAATCGCTGGTCACCGACGTCGTACCCGGTCGGTCGACGCTTCGAAGTGCAGCTGAAGGAGCGTGAGCGGGAGATGCTGCTCAAGTACGAGGCGGACATAACTAGCGGACGCAGGGCAGAGATCAATCGCATTGCCCGGGAGCGCTGGGCTCGCGCCCGCTGTCAGCACAAACCGGATGCCGAGGAAAAGTTGCTGCTCATGCGGCTGAAGGAGCAGCGCAATTTCCGGCTCAATCGCCGAGCGATTAGCGTTCACCCAACGGCCATACGAAGAGAGAACATAAGCCGCCCACAGAAGAGTCCATCCTGTCAAGCGTTTACCACGCTGACCGAGCAGGATCTGCAGTTTTCCAGGCGCCAGCTGCAGCGTCTGCGCGAGGCTCAGGCTAGAAGAAAGCGACGAGGTAGCGGCTCGCAATCTGCAGTGGAAGCTAGGAGAAGAAGGCAAGAACAGGATGTCGAGAAGGAGAAGGAAAAGGAAAAGAAGGAGAAAGAAAATGAGAAGCAGGAAGAGGAGCAGGATCAATTGGATCTGGACCTTGAACTGGAACTGCAATTGAGTCCGGTATCAGATGAAGCGCTAGAAGAGGAACAGGAAACGGTGGCAGAACAACAAACGCAGGATTTGCTACACGGACAGGAGCAACTGCAGCTGGAGGAAGAGCACGAGCAACTGCAGCTGGAGGAAGAGCATGAGCAGCTGCAGCTAGAGGAGGAGCATGAACAGCTGCAGCTGGAAGCACAACAGCAGGAGCAGCTGCAGCTGGAGGAACAGCAGGCGCAGCTGCAACTGAAGGAACAGCAGGAGCAGCTACAGCTGAAGGAAGAGCAGGAGCAGCTACAGCTGGAGGAAGAGCATGAGCAGCTACAGCTGGAGGAAGAGCATGAGCAGCTGCAGCTGGAAGAAGAGCAGGAGCAGCTGCAGCTGGAGGAAGAGCAGGAGCAGCTGCAGCTGGAGGAACAGCAGGAGCAACTGCAGCTAGAGGAAGAGCAGGAGCAGCAGCCGCAACTGGAGGAACAACAGGAGCAGTTGCAACTGGAAGAACAGCAGGAGCAGCTGCAGCTCGAGGGACTGCAGGAGCAACTGCAGCTGGAGGAAGAACAAGAACTACTGCATCTGGAGGAACAGCAGGAGCAGCTGCATCTGGAGGAACAGCAGGAACAGCTGCAGCTGGAGGAGCAGCAGCATCTGGAGGAACATCAGGAGCAGCTGCTGCAAGAACAGCATGAGCATCAGCTGCAAGGACAGAAGGAACAGCCGTTACACGGACAGCAACAAGAGGGACAGGAACAGCAACCGCAACCACAACCACAGCAGAGGCAACAGTCGCAGAGAATCGATGATCCACTGGATGATCAGCCGTCATCGTCACGAGCAGTAAACCGTCCGCCGCCAAGTGACAACAATTCCGAAGCAGATGAGTCGAAGGAAACCACCCAAGAGATAGCAGCAGATTCACGGATTTGTGCTGTGATGACTCGCCCCATTCCTGGCTACAGCAACACCTTCATGCTCTGCTCCCTCAGCAACAACAACAACTTTACCCCTTTGAACAATGAGGCACTATATTTGGATAGCGAGAATCATTTGGTGCCGGTGCCTTTGGAGGCGCTAACCGAGACGCCACAGCTACCCGAAGGGAATCCGTTGTCTGCGGTCTTTCTGCTGGATGGTGAGGCCATAGCGCAGGTGGTGCAGGGTGAGCAGGGTGAGAACCCGGAAGCAGAAGATGGGCAAGTGGGAGAAGGAGTAGTGGAAGGGGGGGATGTGATGCCAGGTGCCATACTGGGCATGATGTCGCCTTCAAATCAATTAGTCGACGGCCACGACGACGAAGAGGAGGAGCCGGAAACAGCTGAAGATCTGGTGGCAACTGATGAAGCCGAGAATCCATCGCCATCCGAGGAAATGTATCAGCTGCAGTCGAATGTGCTCCAACTGAATGTCGGTGGCCACCAGCTGGAGATATCAACCGAGGTGCTAATGAATATAGCCGAGCAACAGGATGACATCATCATTGAGATCGACGGCGGCGGGCAGGCTCTGTTGCCTGCCGCCGAAATACTGCAGGCGGCCAAGAACTATTTGCACGAGCGAGACTTACAGCTGGTCAATCTGGAGGACTTGACCTTGCACCAGTGCAACAACGGAGCTGGCTCTGTTCCTCTGATAGTCCCCGATTTGTTGGCTGCAGCGCTGGCCGGCAACAGTGTGGACGTTCTACACATTGAGACTCAATCGGCGGCTGCAGCGGCAGCATCTGCAGGCACAGCACCAGCACAGCTACCAACACTGACACCAGCAGCAGCTGGAGCTGGAACTGAGGAGGATGTGGTTGGCTTTATGGCACACACGTTGCCGGTCAGTGCCTCCCACTTGACGCCGCCGATCACAGCCCGCACGAATGAGACAAATGCGCTGCTGGATCAGACGCCCATCATGTCCGCCTTGGAGCAACCAAGCACCAGTGCCTCTGCCGCCCTTCAACTGCGCGCCGGCAGCAGCAGCTCATCGGCCTCGCCTCTGTCCCTGGATTCCATTGGTGGCAATCTGGACGATAGCCTGGCCGTAATTGGTGTGACCAATGGCAGCGGCAGCGGAGTGCCCACATCCTTGGAGCTGCCCATAACCGTCACCAATCCGGCGATTGCGCCCCGTTCCACAACTGCTGATATGACGAAATTTGTGCCGTTCCAGTAGCTGTTGCAGTTGGATGAATTGTCCGATGGCTGGGATAGCCTGGACTCAGAGTAGATAGCGATTGGTCAAGTCGATAATCAGCTATGCTCGCATTCGGCAGCGCCATAAGCAAGACAGTTAAATGAGAAGAGAAGAGCGAGGTAGAGCTCAACAGAGCAGCAAATCATTTCTAACTAGAATATTTCTTTTACATACATATTCTCTCTCTCCCTCTTTCTTTGCAAGGAATGCAGGTATTTTTGTTTTCAAATATAGTAAGGAAAGCTTAGGCTAAATGAGAGCGAGCAGCATAGTAATAGAAACTTGGACTGTAAACTGTTTACTTTTAAGTCACTCGCTCTCGCTCTTGCCCTTGCTGTCGACGACACGCACTCAGCATGAGCAAATGACTATACACTTACACTTACAGTTAGGTTAAGGCAGAATAAGTAAGAGCAGCAACTGGAACAATGGCTGCTCTCGTTCTCTCACTCTTACTTTTTGTGAGTATGCATAGTATGCATCAGCTACGTTATTTTCAGCATTGCAATGGAAGTTAGGCTAAGGCTATTAATTAGGGAGCGAGCAGGATAGCAGCAAAATGAATACTAGAATACTTGATGTATAGACTAATGCGTGTGCCGTCGCTCTCACTGACTTGGTGTACAATGCACATACATATATATATATATATATAGTTTTTTTTTTTTGCAAGGCAAATATAAAGCAAAGCTTAGACTAAGCCGATCGAAAGAAGTGCGAGAAGGAGAACAGAACAGAACAGAACTGGACAGAACAGAACAGAAAAGAACAGAATTTAGCATACTTAAGAATTACTAAACAAACGATTATAAATGTATATGAATATAAATGATTTTATTTTATTCTTTTTACTGCAACAAGATACCCTTAATTCGCATAAATGAGGTAAATCTATACAAGGAAATAAGAGTAGGAAACTGTTTAAACCTACAACGTGTAGCTTAAGAAGTAAACAGTTTCCTGCTCCTATTTCCTTGTATAGATTTTCCTCATTTGTGCAAATGAAGCGTATCATGTTGCAATAAAAAAAAAAAACATATTCATATAAACATTTATATAAATATATATATATTTATAGTTTAATAAAATGTTCTGCACCAAAGCAACTTAAATGAGTTAAAACATATTTTTAATAAAATTAGATATAAATATAAATCTATTAGTATATTAGTAAAAACAGAAGCCTACAAATATATAATATGAATTATATAACGAACTTAATTTTGTAAACCTAAATTAAAATGTAATTAGTTAAAAATAAATGAAATGAAATATTTTCAAATTAAAAAAAAATAAATAAAAAAACTATGTGTATTATTATGAATTCTCATTTCAAAAATCCGTTTTTTCAGCTATAAATGGTTTATAGCCCAGCCAACATTCCTTGAGAACAATATATTTAAGTAAAGGGCGCTTTTTCAAAATTATTTAGTGATGAGCCTGTTCCGGAATTTGATTAACGAGTCGATTTCAATAACTTAGAGATGAAACTGAGCAAGCTAGTTCCAACTATATTCCTTGAAATCTGTACCCATTTGTAGCCTTCATCATCATAAATCAAAGTGGCCTGGGCCATTCCACATAGGAGCCAAGCAAATAGAAATCATATAACTTTAAGTAAGGCTGAAAATCGGAGCACTTCTAAAATAAAAAAAATAAAAAATAAAAAAATTATTTTTTTTTCGAAAAAACAATTACGAGAAATTCGGCAAATTACTAAAGAGGGAGAACTAGAAAAAGGCAACAAATAGGCTATAGAAAAAGAGAACGGTATAGACCAAAGCGTGCACCAAGCTAGGGTAGAGTTCATCTGCACCGTCGGTGCCAGTACTTTGGCGGAAGGGGAGCAAAGAAGGAGCAAGTGAAAACCTCTTGGAAGCGCGAAGTCTATCTGTAGCTGGTCTGGTAACTATAGTATCCTGTAGACATAACCATACAGAGTAGATTACGAAGAAAAAAAGAGTCTGGTAAGCACATCTTAGAAATGCCGTTATCCTGAAATATATTAGGTGTATCCCCTGCAAAGTAACTCTAGGGCGTATAGAAGAGAAAAGGAGCGGGGAAGCGAAGCAACGGGAAGAAAAAATATACCCTATATAGCTACTCTATATAAACCGGTAAGCAAAGAAGTTAAACAGCAGAAATCTACATAGTATTAAGAGCGTATATAATACCTACATATACCCTATAGCTTGCGAGATATAGCGGGAGTGAAAATCATGAGTTTTAACTGCACATCTTCGGACGAGGAAGATATGATGCTAGACATTGAACTTGTGAGCAGCTCCGATGACAGCTCCGATGAAATAATTATGGCTGCGGTCGAAGGTGAGCTGATGCAACAACAACAGCAAGAGGCTCCGTTGGAGGTGGATCTAGTATCAGATTCGGATGAGATGGATGGCTTAGAATCGGAGTCCGAGGAAGTGGAAATCGACTTCAGCTCTCTAGATGAAGATGATTTGATCGAGCATGTACCAGAGGACCCCATAATGGAGGAATCTTACGAGAGCATTGATATGGGGCTAGCTGTGCTGGATGGGATCGCGCAAGTGGAGCATCTGGACGAGCTGACTCAAGCCGAGCAAATGGAGCACATCAAGGAGGTCTGTCTTCAACAGTTGTCGGGGGCGTCGAACACATCGAGCGAATGGGCAGTTATTGCCCCACTGCACACCAGCTCGGTGGTGAATGTGCTGCGTCTGTGCTTCGGTCGCATCAATCGCAACGAGTATCGCATCTACGATGCTACCAAAGGCAATGGGTATTGCCCGATCCCTGGGCCGCCGTTGGTAATCGAAGGGCTGAGCACTAAGCCGTCGGGGCAGTTGGAGCCGCTGCTCGATGGCTTGGCGCTCACGGAGACCTATGTGCACCTCTTTCCGTACAGCTCTCTATCGGAGCACGTGAAGCAAATGATCCAGGAGGAGACGGGCGCTGATATTCCAGAGCTGTTAAACAACGCCGACAACAAGATGGGCATTGAGCTACTTCCGGACGCCGAGTTGAACATAATGTGCGCCGGTCGTGGGGATCGTGTGGGAATTCATTTCCGCTCATGTACCCAATCCAAGGAGCAGCAGATGCTGAACGAGGAGAACAGCGGCACCAACATCTTTGGCGAGCCAACTGTAGTCTCAATGATTATTGCCAAGACGGAAATCGTGCTCTCCAACCAGCAGATTCAGCTGTTGGCCCAAAATCCGGAGTCAAACATCTATCTCTATGCCGACAGCAGCTGCATCTACGTCCTCAACGGACGCATTCTGTTCGAGAACACAGAGCTGACCCAGCACATTCTGCCCATCAGCAACATTGATCTGATCCCCTTCTCTCCATCAGAGCCCATTTCCATTGACTCGGACCCTGACGATGAATAAGGGGGCCGATGATCGCAGACTGCAGAATTCTACACTGAATACTAAAGACTGATAATTCAAGACTGAAAACACTAAACTGCAACACAGAAGACTGAAAATGCAAGACTGGAAACGAAAAACTATCAATATTCAGAGAGATAACTGAATATTGAACTGAATGCTGAATAATGATAATGAATAATACTGAAAATAGAAGACTGGAAGACACGAAGGCAGATGACAGAAGACACATGGATTAATCAAGGCAAATATTTGAGATATGCTGATGTTTTTATAGATGTACATATGTATACATATATAGCTAAATATAGGGATATACCAGGTATTGATTTAGCTCAGGTTTTTGTATATACCTTGGGATGTAGAAGAAATATGATGGGAAATTATTTGATTTCTGTTCTATACCTCCTTCTCGTATGGCACATCATGGGTATTTGAACGAATACACTTGGCTATGATGGTGTTTAGTCTCGTACAGATTTTTATTCCTCTGAGCCTGGGTTTATATAGCCGGACTCATGCGTACTTTTAACCCTTAAATCTAGTGCGTATATCGCTGAGTTTATAGGTCTTCGTGTTGGTCTATTGGTTATTCTTATCCCATCGCTGAGTTTGTAAGGCTCAGCGCTCGTCTCTGAGATAATCTGTCGCTTGGATTGCAAGGGTTAGTTTTCATCTGTCTATTTATAGAGTCCGCACATGCGTCGGAGGCATGTATACGATCTTCGTATATTCGCATATTCAACAACCTACAGTACAATATTGTTTCATATCTTGCAATCCTTATATCGTATCTAGGAGCACATATCTTCCCCTCAGCTCGCATATTGTTTACTTTTTTCGTCTATTGTATTATGCACCTCATATCTGGTATATAATATCTCATATCTAGTATATAATACCTTATATCTTTTCAGCTTCAATATCGTTTATCGTTTAACTGGTCGCTACCTCAATCGCTTTGTCTTGCTCTCTCCCTATGCCCGTTCCTATCTCTATCTCTGTGCTATTGTTATACTACTATGCGTTATATTGGCATTTTGTGCTACTGTTATACTGCGCTGTTGTTATACTATACTGTTATAATCGTGCTTCACTGTTTCGTGAATGCGCCCATTATTTTCCCAGTGCATTTGCTAATTTGGGATATTGAAATATTCACATTTTGTTTTTGTAATATATATTTTTATTGAGTTTTCAACAAATTGAATGACATTCGGTTTGTACGCCTGATTAAACAATGAAACAATAACAATTGCTTTCAAATGAATAAACAATGTGCTATGTAATTTGTTGCTTCTTTTTAGTTTTCAATTATAATTATTCATTTATTATAATATTATTATCAATATTATTATTGTTTTGTTTTCTATGCACTCAACTTTCAGCTTGACTTGGATTGTTGTTTCTTTCTTCCTTTTTACAATTTGTTTAAACATAACAAAAGACGCACGTGGAAATAGTTAAAAAAAAAAAAAAAAGATGTCTAAACACAATAAATAATAATTAATTAGAATTACTTTCGCGGCCGATATACATATATATAAATATAAATTTATATCTATTTATATATATGTATAAATACATAAATTATAATTGAAATTTTCATTTTGGATGGCAACAAATCAATACTTGAAATTAGTTTTGTAAACATACAAAGTTGTTGCTGTTGTTGTCTTGCTTTGAACTGATTCGATTTGAATATTCGAACATAAAAAAAAATACTTGGGTTGCGTAAATATACAAATTTAACTAAATAAAATGAATATTAGAAACGGTCGGGCTTCAATTTAGATATTGTTTGATTGAGTGTTTGTTGTGGTTGATGTTGCTATTTGGTTTGAGCGGCGAGTGCTTAATTGCTTTAAGCTCTTCTTCCTTTTCTTCTCCTTCTTTTGCTTGTTGTTGATTTTTGAACACTCTACCGAAATAGTTGTTTTTGCTGTTTGTCACCGGAGACTTTGGCTATTTAAAGCTTGGCGCAGATCTCGTTTGTGAATTCGGAGCACTTGGCCTTTCCACCGAGATCGCCAGTTAGATATTTGCCCTCTTTGATGGTCTCGAATGCGGCGCGTTCAATCTTGTCCGCATGCGAATTTAGCTCCATGTGACGCAACATCATCACAGCAGACAGTAGCAGAGCTGTGGGATTTGCCAAGTCCTTGCCGGCAATATCGGGCGCTGTGCCATGCACCGATTCGAACAGAGCACCATTCAAGCCCATGTTGCCCGAGGGCGTTAGGCCAAGACCACCGACCAAGCCGGCGCACATATCAGATAAAATATCACCATACAAATTGGGCATGACCTAAGAAAGAGAGATTACTTAAGCAACGAAATGATTCAAATTAACATTCAAATTAGCGGCAAGCGTTGCCAGCTCGTTAATAAAATTCAAATTGAGCCACCGACCCTCGATTAGGGTCCACTTACCAGCACATCGTATTTGCCTGGATTCTGCACCATATTAAGGCAGACCGTGTCCAAGTAGCGTTCCTCGAACTGAATTTCCGGATATTTTTTCGCTGTATCGCGCACGCAACGCAGGAACAAACCATCCGACATACGCCTGTCAAATGGGAGATATATAAACGTATATACCTGTCCAGCTAATGATCTAGAGACCTAAAGATCTACTACTTACATAATGTTGGCCTTGTGCACAACGGTCACCTTCTTGCGATTGTTATTCTTGGCATACTGGAAAGCATAGTCGGCCACACGCATCGACGCTTCCTCCGTAATGAGCTTGATACTCTGGACGACGCCATCCACAATTTCGTGCTCGATGCCAGAGTATTCACCTTCAGTATTCTCACGAATTGTGACTACATCGACATCATCGTAGAGCGTCTTGTAACCCTCCAGGCTGCGACAGGGACGCACGTTGGCATACAAGTTGAATTCCTTACGCAGAGCCAAGTTAAGCGAACGATGGCCCTTGCCAACAGGTGTCATCAGGGGTCCCTTGAGACCGATCTTGTTGGTGTTGACCGAATCGATGGCGGCCTGGGGTATGCCGAATTTGCCATCGGGACCCTGAGAAGCAAAGTATTTAAATTAATATTCAAATTCATATGGCGGGCATATAACTGACAAGTGTTGCCAGTAAGTGAATGAATTATCTACGAGCTTTTCGATAGTATCGATTATTTTCAGACAAGCGTTGCCAGCGAGTTTCTGCGCGCCTCATTCAAAAATAAACGGTTGAAAAATCATATGATCAAATACTTACACGCACGGGTGTTACATCAACAGCTTCCCACTCGATGGGAACGTTGGCGGCAGTGAAAATCTTTTGCACGGCAGCAGAGATCTCGGGGCCGATGCCATCGCCGGGTATGAGTGTTACCTTTCTGACCCCGGACGCATAGCCGCGAGTGGCAGCGGGCGTTGTGTTGACCTGCAAGCAGACAAATTTAAATGCCAATTAATTACAAACGCAATCCACAGCGACACAGGATCACAATCTGCAGAACCTATCCGGTTGCCAGATGTCTGGTTACATAAGCGACATCTCGCGCATGCAAACGGAAGCAGCGTTGGTGCTGCAGCTAATCGCGCGTTGAGGTTAAGCGCGTCTGGCAAGGTGGGCTGGCAGGCAGGCGGCGGCGTTGCCATCGCTATTTATGCAACCCGTGCAAAATATAGAAACTGATAAGCTTAAGATTCTAATTTATGAGGGTGTTTGTTTTCCCAAATTGATCAGAATCGAATTGAAGTGTTTTTGGTTTTGCAACTATCAAGAAGTCTTAGACAATGTAGGCAATCTTCCATCAACCCCCCGCCCCATCCCTCATTCACGCGGTGTGTTATGTAAACGAAGCAGTGCTTGTTTTTCTTACGCTCCATCTTTTTGACCAACGGTAGTTGGTTCTGTTGCTGTTGCTGTTGAAAGTGCACGCACCTTGGCTTTAAGTGTTGCTCCGGCCAAGGACGTTGACTCGGTCGCCGCCTGAAAACCCAATTGCTTCAACTGCCAAATATATTTTTTGCGTAATGTGTTGTTGTTGTTGTTGAGGTTGTTTGCACGTTGGTTGGGGTTGTATGTTAAGAACAAAATCAAAAAGTTAGTTTATGTTTCGTTATTATTAGTTATTTCTTTTGGTTTCTTTCCCCTCCTGGAAGGGCGCACGTAATCACAAATGGGCAAATATTGCATCTGTATGCGTGTATGTGTCTGCGGGACAGAAGGCGAAGGAGAATTGCGAAAGGGTTGACAGTCGCGGCACATACAATGTTTGCTTAACTAATTTGGCAAGCTGTTAAAATTATTTTATTAAACTCTCTTATGATCTTACAATTTTCTGTATAAATCTAGCAGCCATTGCGTTGCGTTTTTGGGTTACTTGCACTTGGATTATTTTCACGTATAGAAAAAATTTGACCACTCGCACGTCTGAGACTTTACTTTGCGCCCGCCGTATCGCCACCTAGCGGAAAAACTGTCGAATCTGGAGCATGGCCGATATGCGTGAGCTATTGGTTATCGAGCATGGTTTTGTAGGCGTTGCCACACCATATAATTGTCACATGTTTAAAAAAAAAGTTATACAAATAAGTATGATATTTATATTACTTATGAATTATTAATTGGAGTTAATATGGCTAATAAACCTAAAGTATAAACAGTTATTTGATCACATTTTTATCAGGTTGAATTTATCTAGATGCAGAGAGAGATTTTACGGTATATATCAATAAAATAAGTAATCTGGCCCTTCATTTTCGTACACATAGAATGTTATGATTTTGTTATTTATTTATTTACTGTTTTCTTTTTTTGCTTTTTTAAATGCCTACAGATCGTTTCATGATCGACAACGATGGCATCACTAGACAGCTAAAATCGAATCGATATCAAAACACAGCTATATCGATAATGTCTTTTGCAACGTTGCATCTTGCAGGCACAGTTTAAATTAATTTCGGCTCTTGCGGACATTTTACGCCGTATTACATATAAAATTAATTTAAACAAATTCTCTGTGGTTTAATTAATTACCTAAGTGTATTTCTATCCGCTGCTACGATAAAAAGTTCGTGCGTGTCGCGTAACCTATTGACCAACAGAATAAAATTAAACGACCAAACCGACAGACAAAGCTACGCTACGGTCGTTACTGGCAAAGTACGCTGTGGAACGGCCAATGCAGAATTTTGTCATACGCGAGTATTTTTTTTTCGCGTTCAGTTTAGGTTTTAGTTACCTGCGCGCAACAACCCCGTCGCCTTAGTCGCTGAGTTTCAAATTCTAAAACCTGAACATATTACAAAGTGTGCATTGCATGAGCAATAATACGGCTCCGTGTTGTAATTTAATAAACTCTCAATCG